GACGGCTGCTGCCTCCAGTACACGGCCTCGTACGCCGTGGCCGCCGACTGGTGCTGGTGCTGATGCTGCCGCTGGTCCAGCCGCTGCTGTTGCTGCTGCTGGCGCGTTGGAGACACTGGCGACACGTGAACAGCCCCGTCCCACGGCGAGTATCGATGGCTCAAGTGGGCATGGGGATGCGCAACTGTCTGTTGCTGCTGCTGCTGCTGCAAAACCGCCAACGGCACTGCCGTTAAAGGCTGGTGTTGCTGAGGCTGGTGCGGCGGCGGCGGTGGCGGCAGCGGGGGTGGGGGAGTCGACGGTCCTGTTCGGTCCCAGTCGCCCCCTCTGGGTCGACTACCGGGCGTGGAGGGCGACAGCGCTAGCTGCTTCCTCGGAGGCTTCGGGGACTTGCCACCCCCTCCCCCCTCCCCCAACGGCCGCCCCGCCAAGATGATGCCCCGGCCGCTCCCGTTGCTGGTCTTCCGGGCATCATGCCAAGCGGATCTGTTGCTGCTCTGTCCGGCACCTCCTGCTACCGATAAGGATGGTGGATGACGACCGGCGGCAGCCTCGCGCTTGCTGCTTATCGTCGTTGCAACCTGGGCAGAACAAACGAGAGGGTTGTCCACAGTACGAAAAACACCGAACGCGTTTGAGTTGACTAACTGGAAACAAGCAGTAGCAGCAGTACGGCAGTAGAAGAAAGGTACGTGTACAGTAGTAGCGGCGGTCATACATGATCGACAGAAAAAAATTGTTCACTTCTTTCAACCCCCTATCCATTTGGTCGACATCGCTTGAGACAGCAGTAACTTGATGCTCGTGCTGATCAAGCGCGCCCTTCAACGAGCACAGGGCTAGACAGGACGAGTCTTCACATGTACCCGCGGGCTACAGCAGTCTTCGAGAGGGGAGGTAGGGGGCGGGGGGGGACGACCTTACGAATTCGCGCGCCAACGGTAGCTCCACAAGCCAAAGCAGTCGTTGTCTCCGGTCAGCTACTGTGAAGATATGCACAAACCAAGCAACCGAAAGTCCTGCCTTTGTACTGTAAAGCAGAGGCGATGCTGCTTGGAGTCCTACTGCTGCTACCAACCTGCTGCCGCTGTTGGCAGCACGACGAAACAAAACCGAACACCATATCGACACTTGTTTGGGCACCGCACGTCGAAAGCTGTGCTCACCGTCTCCACCAAGCCGTCGCACGAAGAAGACCGCATAACGCGGCGATGGGTCACGGCAGGAGAGCGCACCGGTGCCAGCGGCGGCCTATCTCGAACGTCCCCGGGTGCCGCAGCGGCAGCGGCAGCGGTGGCGGAGGTGTTTCCGGTGAGCGGCGTAATGACAGAACGCGGTGTCTGCCCCGCAAAAGCAGCGGTGGCGGCGGCGGCGGCTGCGGTGGGAGGCGGCGCCACAGCGCCATTAGCAGGCACGACGGCCAAGAGCGATGGCCACCTGATCTCGATGCCCGCACCGCCCACTCTGTACGCGGGAGCGGCCGTGGCGGTGGGTCTATGTCGCCCCTCGGCGCCGCATCTACCGTGAGGCGGCGCGGTCGCCAGGTGTTGATCCAAAAACGCAGCAGCTGGGGTGGTTGCGGCCGGCAGCGCTGCTGCTGCTGCTGCTGCTGCTGCTGCTGCTGCTTCCGGTCGGCGCTGCTGCTGCTGGGAGCCTCCGCCGCCGGGATACATGTTGTTTGGACCGTGTCCCAGAGGGACACAGTGGTTGGTCTTGCCGCTGCTCCCCGAGATGTTGACCTGCTGACGAAACCTTTCCTCAAGGTTGCACTCCTGCTGCTGGTGCTGCTGGTGCTGCTGGTGCTGCTGGTGATACTGGTGATGCTGGTGCTGCTGCGGCTGCCGCTGTTGTTGCGGATGGATTGACATCGGCCCGGCTCCGTCGCCGCCGATGATGCTGCTGCTGGTGCTGCTGGTGCTGCTGCCAGACACGCTGCTGCCGCTTCTCCCGACTACTGGTGGTGTCGGCGCCGCCCATGTCCGCAGGTGTTCTGCGCCGGTATCAACTTCCGGTCCGCATGTCGCCGTTGTGTCAGGAGGTACCCGGTGCGGCCCCTCGTGGGAGACCATATACATCAAATACCGCTCTCCTCTTCCTCGTCACGGCGCGGGTCTGAGAACTCTTTGACACACGAGGGGAGGAAGACAAACGGGGGGTGTGCCAAAAAACGACAAGTGTTCGTTACGCTCTTCTGACAACATTGACGAAAAATCAACAACAGCGCAGCGCGCCGGCGGTGAAAATGAGGGCGTTGTGCGGCAGTCAGCAGGTTCGTATTGGATAGAGCATCTGGGATATTGCTCCATCACAGACGGCTGCTGGCGGCAAAGGGTTGCACCCTGACAAGCAGCATGCTTTCGAAGAAGCCAGCTTGGGTTTTTCTTGAAGAAAATTTCAGTAACCAGCGTTTCTCGGTCATTATCGTGGAACCGCCGCAACAGTTGAGTCCAGTGCGGCACGCCATAGCGCGGTTCCACCTGCTCAGGAGGGAGTGAAACACTATTCCAGCCTACTTTACAGGACAAGAAGAGTAGCGCAGCCACGTGAAGGCAGGGCTCACTTCAGTGGTGAGGCCGTGTGCATGGCATGCGGCGCACAAAAAGGAAGCAAAAAAGTACAAGAGAAGGTACACATCCCTTTCGACTGAGGTTATGTCTCGAACGGGTAGTCTTCATGTGAGGTTATGTTTACTTCCTAAAAAGGTGAGCGTTCATTATTGCGCCATACGACGCCCTGGCTCACATTTGGACATCAGACTTCTCTTCCCTCTCACTATCATTGAGCAAAGGATCTCACCTTCCCGTGCTTGTCGTTGAACCTCTCACAACCCGCCCGTTCCGTGGCAACGCTCGCGCCCTGCGCTACTTTCTCACTCTCCCGCCCCCAGCCCGCGCGGATTCGTCGAGACCTTCAGGGGCAAGGAGAGTTTTTTTTTTCCGAAAACAAACGAACGAACACTCCACAACCTTCTTCTCTCCGAAATCTGAACGACAACACAGCAGTCGCGTTGTTCTCTGTTCTCTCTCCCCGCTCCAGGTCTACCAGGCTTGGAAACCACGCGTACCAAACGCCGGAGATAGACGCGGCCGGCAGCTGCTCTCCTCACAAGATCGTTTTCCGCGCCCCCACGCCTGTGTGCGCCAACCTCGTACTTTGCCTGTTGCTCTCCCCGCCTTGTTGAATGTTTTTTTTTCTCGGGGAGGATTTGGTATCATCCCCGGGGTTTGTATCGATAACGAGCTGTCCAAGAAATTTGCCGCCATCAGAGGGAGGACATCACTGCGAAGCTACGCGTACAGCAGCAGCAGCGCGTCGCGCGCTGACACCCATGCACACACAGTAGTGGGCCTTTGTCGCCGGTAAGCAGCGTGTGTACTTTACATGCTTGGTGCATCCGCGTGGTGTTTTTTTATTTTTGGTATGCATATGATATGCACGAAAATATCATGTGAGAGAGACACCCCGCTTTCCGGGATGCTGTATGTTGTTGTTGTTGTTGTTGTCTTCACATTAAAAACCATCCCGGTCTCTCTATCCAGTACCTCCTTCTTTCTCAATCTCTCCGTACTAATCCATCACTTGACTCGGCCAATTTCCGTGGTCACAGGCTAACGTACCTAGAAAAGGTATACCAAAATAAAACGGACCCCAAGGGTCAGCAGAGCGATAAAATACAAGAAAACAAAATATAATCAGAAACAAATAAAATAAAATAAAATAAATAATTAGACTAGTGGAACGGCCGCACCACCAGCCTGGGGGGGTAGCCTCCCACTACATGGAGGCAGGTCGACGGCCAAAGGAAGGGGCGGGGGTACGTGCCAGTAAAAAACAAAACAAAAGACAAAATAAAACAGAATAAAGCAAAGACGAGGANNTGTATGCATATGATATTTTCTCGGACATGAATATGTATCGTAGATTGTGACGTGTCAGGTGACCCGATCGGAGATCAGTCTCCTTTATCCCGTCCGAAGCCGAAGGGTTAGCGCGCGGGCACACGCTGCTTTCGTCATGTTTATGGTGAGCAAAGTTTGCGTGTTCGGCTGGGGACGGACATTGGGGGGGTGTTTGCCCCCGCTCCGCCCTGCGTCTCGGTAACCGACTTCGCGGTCCCAACCAGGAAAAGAAGCGTGCAATAATGAATTCATTGCTAATCTGTCTTGGACTCTGATCTTAGATAGAGATGGATTCGTTGTGTCATATTAATAACAAAAAAAATGTGCGACGTCCTTTGCCGTTGATGTGCGATGATGTCGGTGAATAGCGAATGGTTGCAATGTTCCCCCGTCAACCAGGTCATTGATCGTTAAAGGTTGGTTATGTGGTCTCGTCACGTTTCGTCTGTCTCTCCTCCTCTCGCTCGTGCGTGTCCGCGTCTTTTGACCGGTTCGGCGGGTGTTCTACGGTATGCTTTTCGGCAGCGACCGAAACAATTGGAGACAACAACAACAACAACAACAACAACAACAACAAAAACATCGCTGATACCTTCTCGGGATAAAGAACACTCAGCACGACTTGTGTCGACCACGACTGCTGTAGGTAGCATCGACCGCGCTAACTGGTGAACGAACTGAACAAGACGTCAGTCTCGGAAGTGCGTTCCAAAACGCAAAATACTTGGTGAACGCCACAATCTGGGACCCTGTGACTGAGCGTCATGGGGGGGTCGACGCTACTCGCTCGAGATATCTTGTGTAGTATGTGTTCGTCCCATCTATTGTTGTGGCGCCGGGTTACGCAGGCCTGCCTTTCGGCGTCCTCGGAGTATCTATTCTGGTGTAATACCTGACGTATCTGTGCTGTTTGGCTGTTGTAGCGCCAGAATAGATAGACATGGAACGAGCACGCCAACATGCTGCCCCCCAAAACCTCTACGGTCGAGGCGCGGGAATGCGTGTCCTTCCCAACACCATGCAATCCCGTATACATGCGTGACGACACCGACAATAATAATGGCCGATACAGACTACACAATTTACAATAATAGTAGACTCTATTCAAATTCCGTTTGCTTCCATGGATGGATGAGAGTAGCATACACATACACATGTACATCCGCCCATTTTCCTTTTTGACTTGATGTGAGCATCAACAACGAAAAAAACACGGACAACTTCACCCTCTGGACCTTCTTCCCGTTGGATCGACATGTTCAAGCAGATGTATATAGATAGTCTGTCCTCCCAAATGCTCTTTCGCAATTTCGCATCAACCCATGTATATACTACGCAACATACAGCGACGAGTTCCATCCTACATTGGAAGTACAAAAGCACCAGAGTGCTGCAGTTATATCCATATTAACTCTGCCCACAGTAACACCCTCTCACGAACAGAGCGACACAACAACGGTAATTGTATGACATGTGCATCTCAGCGCAACCACCAAACCAACAGGTAGTAGGTGCTCCTTCGTCTAGACGGTGAGGCCCGGACAACCACTTCCTTCCCACGACTTCATCGCCGCCTGCCGGGGGGCAGTGGGTGCCCGTGCCCTCCCGTCCCCTCTCCGGGCGTTGTTACCGCCGCCGCCCCCCGCTGAGGCGATGAATGTGATCGGCGTCTACCGCAGGCTAGGGAGCTCGGTGCCCGTCAAGAACCTCGCCCAATTGCCAGCAACATCTCGGGCAGACACGAAACGGGCCGGCGGCGAGGGGTCTCGCGGTTGGGTTTCTCCTACATGTGCCACGACTTCTGCTGCTGCTGACGGTGACGGTGGTGGCGCAAGAGACGACCCCGGTGCGGGGAAGCGTCGGCCGCCCTGCCAAGACCGCGAATAGTCCGCGGAACGGTCGGCGGAGCTGGTGCCGCGTCGGCCGCGACCGGCGTGCGATAAAAGTGGCGACTTGCGTGCCCTCCGCAGTTCAAGAGACGTCAAGCCGGCGCTCACGAGAAAAATTTGCTACCGAAGGGCAAGGGAGGGAAGCGTCGCAAGGAAAACATACGAAGTTAGTGGCTAAGGGACGGAAGATTAAGGTGCTCAATTACGACTTCCTTTCCGCAAGCCTGTGGGAAACGGCAAAAATTCCCTTTCCAACTAGAATACCAGGTACACGACTGGTACGGAGAGATGGATAGGAGGTGGATGGAAACTAGCGAATGGACACGCTGCCTCGAAGCATTCCAAACCCGACAAGGATGAACCGGACTTCACCACCCCGCTCCCGCGAAAAGGTGCACGCAAAATGTTCCGACAGCAGACGAGCTTTAGGATAGGAGTCATTCAACAGGAAAAACGAAACGAAAGAAAATACTGGCCTCTCGCGCGCACCTGCGCAGCGAGCGCCGTTGCGAGCAAGCCCGTCGTGAGCGCGTAGATAGCCACCCCGAGATCTTCGCCGCCGCGATTGGTCCGTAAAAGGTGGCGTAAGACGTGCGGCCACACGGCCTGAGAACAAACGCCGATGGCGGAGATCGATCCGCGTCACGGAAACGAGAAAAAGGGGGTAGGACGACCAAGTAACCTCGCAGGGAAGAAGAGTTTGTCCAGCAAGCACCACACCAACCGCAAACAAACAAGATAGTACACACAAACACGTACGGCTGCGATCTGTCGAGTGTTTGCTTCGGGTGGTCAGCAAACGAGGAACTGCTAATTCGGAGTTGGGTGAGAAACCTCCCAAGATAAAGAAGGTTGAAGAGATAACGGTACCGGAACGATGACGTACATGTAGTAGCTCGATTCTCGTTTTATGCCCGATTACACGTACACCGCAAACACGGCCGATTGGGTTTATACGCACATTTTGTATAAATCACACATCAAAATAAGCGCGTGCGTGCGTGCCATTCCATTTCTAGCTAGCCTAAACCGAAGCCAACCTTGAAACCGTTGTTTCTGCCACGGCGCGTGCCGAAGATATGTGCTCACTGCGGCTACAAGTACACATCATTTCTAAACCACACAACAACTGCAGCACTCCTGTGTGGCCTCGGCTGACACGTCAGAAAATGTGCACTGAAAAGGTGTGCAGACTAACGCCACAATAACTGGGACGAACGCACACAAATCACATCGAAAAAGCACTGAGAAGCTGACGTCAGCTAGTCGGCCAGCCGGCTAGCGCGGTCGATCCTCACAACAATAAAAACCACGCACACACACACGCACGTCTGTGGTTAACTTTTCACCTGCTTGCACGCGCGTCCGTCGTCACGGCAGGCACTCGTTTCCCCAGATGACAGTGCCATGACCACCCTGCGGGAGAACCAAAACGACAGTCCCGCCAGCAAGATGAGGAAACCCAAGAACGATCGCCGGTTCCGCTCGGCGATGCATTGCCCCACCCACACGCAGTGGTGATCTCGCATCCGAAACGTGCACCTTGGGAGATCGGTGTGATGCATTTGCCAGCGCCGGGAGCGCCATGACCGAAAAAGAGACAAAAAGAAGCGGCAAGGCGTGAAGCAGGCATCACGAGTGAGTCAGAGAGTCAAGCCGCAGCCTAACGAAGCACGCGGTGAGGGACGCGCGAGCGTGGCTACGTGGCAGACGACAATCGGAATCCCATTCCGAAGACCATGCCGCAGGATCTCGTGGCGCAAAAACATGACACAGCAAGTTTTGTCTATTGCCGCAACATGGACGTCAAACGGGAGCCCCCCCCTTCCCTTTTCCCCGTTCCTTTCCATCGGATACATAGCGTGCCTTCGAAGGACACTCCGAAACAAGTAAAGTAGCCCTACACACGTGAGACATACAAGGGTGCCCTCTGGAGTGGACTCATGAGAGCACGTTGTCATCAAGGATGTCATGCAAGATGAACACGAAAGTTCAAAAGGCTGACTACCATCCGTGACGTTTCCAAGCCCGAACAACCCATAAAGCCGACAGCGTTTGCACTCGAAGAGCCCGGCACCCCACACCGAACCCAAAAGAAAACTTACGAACCTGAATGCACCATCTCATATACCAGAGCATGTCGACTTAGGCTACATAGACTCACGCTCCCTCGACAGCCAAGCAACCTACAACGGCTTACCGAACCACGCACAGGATGGCCTGCACGCGTGCCCCGCAAGGCAGGCATTAGTCAAGGGGAGCGGACCGACATGGGGAGAGACAAACACGAATTTACACAACATCAGTGGCGGCATGGCTTTCGTCCAGATTTTTCGGGCTACGACGTCCATCGGAGATAGTCCAGCTCTTCTTCTTCTCCTCCTCATCCCCCTCTTTTCGGCAGGTAGTGATCTCTATTTATCCACACTACCGTCGTTGTGCTTGGGGTTGGACAGTGCCTGCCCCTGTCCCCAGCTCCTCAAGCACGTTGAAACAACAAAACAAGACAGCGCACAATCAATATCTCCTTCCTCCTTCTGTCTCCCTCCCTCCCTCTTTGTCTCTGTTTTGTTTGTGCGTGTGTGTGTGTCTCTCTCTCGTACCCTCTCCCCCCCTCTCTCTCCCTCCCTCTCTCCCTCTCCCTACCCCTCTCTCTCTCCCTCCCCCTCCCTCTCTCCCCCTCCCTCTCTGCCTCCCCCTCTCCCTCTCACCTGCAGATGCTGCACCGGCCGGATCGCAGCAACAGGGACCGCCGTCTATCGCGTCGCTCGCGCAACGCTTGCTTTCCCTCTGCCTCCTCCTCCTCCTCCTTCTCGCCTTCCACGCACACACTCGCACCACCCGCCCAAGCGTCTCGTCTTCTTCTGCTCGGCGCCGCCGCCGTCGCCGCCGCCGGGGGTGCCAGGCGGCCTTCGCCGCTCGCAAGCTTGTCTCGTCCCGGATCGGTGAGACAGCAATGGCCGTAGCACGCGGCCTGGTGATGTTCGTGCAAGCGAGGAGGGGGGGGGGGGTTCTGCCGGGGGGGGCGTGGAGGGCGTGGCGGCCACGCCTCTACCGCCCTTCTCTTGGTTCGCAGGCGACGCCTCAAATAGAGGAGAGATATGGCTGTTCGTTTGGAAGTTACGGTCTCGGGCGGGAACACCACCGGCTGACGTCATCGTGCACCAATAATCGAGTGCTGTACCATATGTTAATAAAGTAGCTGCTTTCGGCCAGGCTGTTGATGGGATTGATGTGTGTGTAGCGGTGCTGCCCAACCAAGGAAGCCCTTTGCCTTCAACCAATGGGAAAAAGATAGACACCGGAAAAGAAATCGTGACGTACGCATCGAACGAAGGATTGGACGGTTTCAAACAAAGAGACCAATCGAACGCGCCCGCCGCCACCGTTCGTTTGAGCGCCACCACACATGCCTGCCTCGCTGGAACGCCGCCGGCCGCAGTGTCCGAAAACACGGCGACAGAGCTTTTTTGTTGTCACAAGACTCCTCGTACCAACGTGAAGGACAGTTGTGGAGGGCAGCACGGCGCGCTGCGTTTGAGCACGAACGCATGGCCGCTCGCAGCCAGCGTGGATCGGTCTTTCCCAAACTCGCCTTTGCGTCAATACATGGGCATGTTTATCTCTCTTTGCACTGAGAGTGCCAATGAAAAAGCGAACACGTGTGGGTATATTCGTGCGCGCATGTGAGTATCGCGCCCGCCGTCTCTCACCATGGCCAACAAGCACAAGTTGACGGCCACGTCTGCAGTCTTCGACGGCGGAGTCGGGTGCAACTCGGTGTCCACGTCGCCACCGCGATGTCGCGAAGAGTAAAGCCCCACCACGGAGAGAGAAAGCCAGGCCTGTTTGAGTCGTCGGTGCGATAAGGTGGAGCGCGGAGAGAAAACAAAGAACGAAACCATCCACAGCACGCACCCGCTACGGCGCAAGGTGGCGTTTTCGTCTGTTTCATGGTTTGTTCTTTGGATTGTTCTCGGATGAAGCGATGGTGGATGAGAGTGGCATCGTGCGGAGTCGCAGCTGGGTCGGCAGGGATGCGACCGGCGCAAAAACATACCTCACGGCTCCTCTACTTCCTTTGCCTCTTGGGGGTGTACTACGCGCGCAAGCGTCCGCAAACCACCACATGTTTCCCTGCACCCCCCCCCGAGAGAGCTCATAAGCGAACGTACACGTTTGGTCAAGCTCACCACAAACTTCGACCTCTTAACAACTAGATATGCATACGTGTGACACATCCTCTCGTGGCCCACTCCAATCAAAAGCACCATGTACCCGGAAAGCTGCCTGCATTCTCCGCGAACGCGAAGACGTCACCCTTGCTTTGGCAGAGTACAACAGAGTACCACCTTTTTTTTTGACAGATGGACAGCAGCCGTCCTGCTCCTCTTGGTGCGAGCGCACGGCATAAACGTACACGCGCGACGCAAACGCTAGAACGAAAAATTGTCGGCTCGCTTGTCGCGGAGAAAAAATACGAAGAAGTATTGTACATCGCCACTCCTACGATGCATACTTGCTGCATGATACATCATACACAGCACACAAGGCGAATGTATCGGATCAAAAACTAGACGAAGAGAAAGGCTTCGCCTATGATGAGAGACCGCAACAACAACTACAACAACGTTTACCTTGAAAGGCAGCAACAGCAACAACAACAACAACAACAACAACAACAACAACAACAACCGCTCGTTCGCTCACCACGTGGAACTGCGAGCGTGACCGCCGGCGGAGGGCTCTCAGGTGCGAGTAACCAAGCCCTCCGAAGCATGCCGTCACAACAGCCACAGTCTGCGCGAGTGAGGCCGACCTTCTCGCCGCAAGTCGCACCTGTCGATACGATACGACCAACCGTTGCCGCCACGGAACGTAAAAAAAAATCGTCGTTCAAGGAGAACAAGTAATAACACGCGAGGCGGGGAAGGATGAGATTTCCGGTGAGTGTGCGTGGGGGAGGTGCGGATGGAATATCAGTTTTGGGGTTCAACATGCTCAATATGTTGCCAGTTCTGGTAAGTACGGCTTATCCGCACTGTTAGGAGCGACCAGGCCGCTGGGAGAGAGGTGGTCGCTCTGGTGCATACCTGACCAGGCATGTATGTTGTATTAAGCTGTCGCATCATTCCAACCCTCTGTAAAAGCACACGACTGGATACCACCTTTCAAACATGCCCAACAACAGCTATAAAGGCAGAGCTAATAAATGTCGTGTGTCGAGAGAAATCCGATCTCGCGACACACATCTAACCAGGAGCTCGGCGTAGGGGAGAGCAACGCCTACTGCGCGCAGTCATGTATCGTGGAGCACGCACGAGCCAGAGGAGAGCTGCCGCGAGGAACCAGGCCAAGTCCACGCGCTTCGCGCCCCCCGGCCATGGCACCCTGTCCGCACGAGGGTACAACACAGTCATGACGAAGACGGCGGCGGCGACGGTGGTGGGGAGCCGGGCAACGCCATCGATGTTGATATGGCGACGGCATCAACCAATGGTTGTTGTGGCGAGAACAAAACAACAGCTACAGCAACAGCAACAGCAACAAAACAACAGCGACAACAACAACAACAACAACAACAACAACAACAACAACGACGACGACGACGACGACGACGACGACGACGAAAACACGCGGTTTTGCCGGGGGTTGGTCCGGCATACGTATCTTTTATGCGTAGGCTGTTGCTTCTGTGCTCCGTCGGGGGGGGCGGTGTGTTCTTAAGCACCAGCCGATGATGGCAATGATCACAAGCTCGGGGAGAAGAGAGGGCAGGAGGAACAACCACAGCGTCAGAAGTTCAGAAGTGGTGAGCGCCTGCTCCGACACTTGCTTCGACTTTCTCCATGCCAACAGAAAGCCTTGCGGAGCCTGGTTCGTAACTGTGTGCTGAGGAACGGACCGCATGCTGCTGTACTTCAGCAGCGACACCAAGGGGACTTGCTGTATCCGTCAACTTCTGCCCCATCACCTCTTGTGTAACGCGCCGAGACATCAAACGCCAACCCGCAACGTTGAAACGCTACGCTGTGCATGTAGTATCCATGTGCACCGGGATGGCCACGCTAGTACCTCCGTCGCCCATGCTGTACGCCATCACGAGGCACACGGGGTTCGGCTAGAGCACGAGGGTGGACAACCGCCAGCGGTATTGATTGACGAGACGTATGCGGACCAATGGTCTGATGTTGTATGCATACCAGGAAAAATGAAAAATGCCGTCATCGAGGCAACAACGAAAATAATTATCGCCTCCATCATTGTTTTGTTGTATCTCACCGTGCGCGGTCCTGGGCCACGTCGAGCACCCGCTTCCAGCCTGGAGGGCTAGCGGTTGTCGACGACGTCGCTGATGATGCCGATACGAGGTTGGTGAAGGTTTCATCCAAGTCTTCGCATTCGCAGAAGATCTGCGCATGATATCAGTATGGCGGTAGATTGCGAGCAGCGACTCATCGTGGTTGGAGTGTGGCAGGCTGGCCCGATCGACGCGCGCGTTTGCGTTGCGAGACGCAAACAGCACTTGTTCACTATCGGGATCTTGCGAGACGCAAACAGCACCTGTTCACTATCGGGGTCCTCCCGCACGCGTGTTGGAATCGTGTCTCCGATGCTAGAGGTAAGGAGACGACAGAGCCCACAACCGCAGCCTGGTCCTTGTGGAGATACTCCAGATGATGGTGACACTTTTCCGTGAAGTTGTACACTAGTATTTCGCAGCGGAAGCCTGCAAGCAATGTGGCCAGGGCTGGAGCCTGCGAGGGATTTGACTTCTACAGCTAGACTATCACATCAACACGTCAAAGTGACAACCGGCGATGTTCAAACAGGTGTATCCCTCTACATCACTTCCTTGACCAGGTTGCAGTTCAATTGCCCCGTGCCTGGAGGGTTTTAGCGAAGATTATCAGCGCGTTTGTGACTCTCTCTCCCGTGCGGGGGTTGGCTGGACTGCCCGGTATGGTTGACGAGTCGGGTGTCGTTTTGCTCGCAGAACGCCAACGCGTAATCGCACGTCGCATGCAGCGGAGCGTGACTCGAACTGCAGAACGGAGGAAGAGATCAACCGCCATTTTCGTTGCGTGTAGCGCGGTTCTTAGCCCTTGCTGCGCGTCAATCGCAAATTCAGTACAATGAGCCCCGTGTTTACTTTCTGTGCGCGAACCACACCGAACAGCAGTGGTGACAGATGGATAGAGATGCCACAGCACCAGCAGCTCAGCAGTGAACGTGCATGGTCTCCGGCTTGCTCCTGTGTACAACGCTTCAAGAGTGTAGATTAGCGACGCACATGATACCCAAATGGCACCTCTTTGTCTGGTTGCAATGCCGCTGTGAAACAAACTACCTGTAGGATGTTCCTGATCTCTCCATCCTGGGAGACATACTCGCACCAGTTCTCCATTGATTCGCACGCACGCTCGGTATCACGCGTTTGTGCTGTCTGCTGCGGCGGGTGCGGCGCAATCAAGCTTTGGGGAGAGGCTCCGCAGAATAGATTTCCATTTTTTTCTGAACACGCAGCCCATTGCTCGCTCGCACGACCTGACCGGTCAACTGGCTCCGGAGAACAAAAACAATCATTCCAGGCCGGACCGACAGAGAGAGAGACAGAGGGAAAGACAGAGCGGAGAGTGAAAGAGGCGAGAGAAAGGGGGGGCGGGCTCCATGTATCGCGTCAGCCGGGAGGGAAGGCGTGCGCACGACCACGGCCCTGACAGCAACGGCGGCGGTAGGTCTGCTCGATACAACAAAGAACGAGTCGTCGATGCAGCGTCCTCCTCCGGCAGCTCGTCCTATGCCTACTCCGACGACAAGAGCAAGGCCTTTCCGGTCGCGGGGCGCGCGGCGGGCGTGCTCCGGACGCGCAGCTCGAGGGCCTCGCTCTGCCTCAAGCTGACCGCTACGTCTGTTGGCCTCTTCGTGTTGCGGGGGGTGAGTACAGGAAGTGCACCCTGTGTGCATCTTTTGTGCCCCTGTTCGTAGGTGTTCGTGTGTCGATGTTATTTGTTGTTGTTTCTCACATAAGCTGTATTGACTACTAGTCCACAAGAAATGGGGTATTGTCCACGAAAAATGGGAAGCCCGTGGTCTCAAAACCCGGCACATACGACGCCACGGGGAAACAAACGAATAGGGCAAATACCACTCAGTGTACCTTTTTAGGGTAAGCTAGCCTGCGACCACGGGAACCGGCCGCGTCGAGTGTTGGATCAGACGAAGGTATCGCACCGACCGTTCGAGAAAAGAGCTCTCGGAAACCGATCAAAATAAAACGAAAACAAAAAGTGCGTGACCGCGCTGGCTAAATAGTCCGTGTGCCAACCTTTGCTATCTCTCTCTCTCTCTCTCTTACCTCCTCCTCGCAGCAAATTAAGCAGCACGGACTCTTTAGTCCCTAATTCAGCAGCGACGGCGGCGGCGGGGGCAGCAGCAGCAAAACCAGCCACTGACTCCCTTTGTCACTGGTCCTGCGTGAAGAAGGGGCAGGGGGCGCGAACCCACTACTTTCATACAACGCAATGTTCCGTGCGGAGTGCCAGCAAACGATCACTTGGGTAACCTTTTCCGGTACGCGCCTTTTCGAATCATCCTGGCCGTGCGTGCGTTTCGAACGACAGCTGTCCCTCACTTCCTTCTCCGCGGGCGGGGGTAACTGCTGTAAAAAACACGAGGGAAAAACAGTGCACGCATGTGCATCCATTTATTTCCTCGGCAGTCAGAACACCTCTCCTAGATTTCTAAATTTGAAAAAATTGAATCTGTGCGGAGCGCGGAGGAATCGTCCACTACCCGATAACGAACAACTTGTTGTGTACAAGTCTGCTGAACGGCAATGTATGCTTCCCCGAGCTGACCACAGCAGTCGAGAGGGACGTGTTCAAACGTCTTTGCAGCGAGTCGCAACTCACACCCTTCGACTACGACTGCGGTAATGTTCTCAAACGGGTGGCTGGTGAGTGTAGAGAGGCATACTCTATCTCGCCGCTGCCGCCGCCGCCGCCGCCGTTGCGGGGACGATTCATTTGAACGCACCCATTTTTTTTGTTTTGTCTTGACTTCAAATCAGCGCTCACAGCACTAGTGCCGTTTACTCCAACCCGTGGTCACACAGAAGAGCCCCTCTCTACCCTCCCCTCCTGCGGTACGTTGCCTTCGATTTGTAATGCGAGAAGAGTTCAGCACTCTCTTCCCTCTGTGCACACACGAACTAGCGCTATCCACTATAGATGGCGCCCGCACTTGAGAACCTCTAGTCTAGTACGAGGCTGGGGTTCTTATTTTGCTGATCATCCTCGTGTGGGCTACAAATGGCCTCCATATAGGTTTTTGTGTGGGGTTCTTAACCGAGCTCACAAATGGTGCTCAAGTTCTTAGCTTCTGATTTTTTACGAGTCTCAATTTCTTAACTGCTAAGTGCTTAAGTGCGGGCGCTATCTGTAGGCCAGGAGCGGAAGCGAGAGAAAAACTCACTTTGCAAGAACAGCTCGCTTACGCCAGGATTCGAACCCCTGACCTGACCTCTAGGAGAAGGTTTCGAGGATACCAACTATTTAGACCACCGGGGCGACCTTATACAACGTCGAAAAAACTCCGGATGTGGTCTCCACATTCCACCGGTTCTTTCATTCTCCCCTGGCATGAGTGTTACTTAGCACGGCGTGCTCACGCATCACAAGAGGCACCGATGCAACCTTTCATCTTTCATCCGCCTTCGCAGCATATACAGCAGGACCGCACGATCCGCTTGGCACGAATGATCATTCGCCTGCCGCGTGGTACAGATGTGCAACGTCGAAAGACTTGCCGTTCGAGATAAAAAAAGCGAAAAAGTGTCTCCCTGTTGTTGTTGTTGTTGTTGTTGACTTCACATTAAACCGTATGCCAGTTGCTAAATGCCAAAATCTAGCAAAGACTCTCAGCCCGTGGTCACGAAAGTGCTAGAGCCATCTGAGGATCTAAAGAACACGCACACGTAGCAAGAAAAAGGTGTACAAGAGCCCGAAGAGGTACTACTACACCTATATATAATCCCTGCAGCACCGTACGCGTGCCCAAAACTGAACTACACGTCCGTCTCACCGTTCGACTACAGCAACATCACCCCCTAC